TTTATCATTTTGTGTTGTCCCCAGGGTATGCCACTGGGTAAATATCATTAACTCCCTCCAACATCAATCGTGGTATGGCTCATAACACTAAGTATATATTGGCAAAGTAGTCACTATTGTCAGTGTAGAACTTCAGTAAATTGGTGAACAGTGCAAACCAATGCTGGTCATTGCGATGAGGAGAGAGGCCCCCTTTTGTGTGTTTATTTTGCGCGTGGTAATGCGTCGATCTTCGGCATCACTGCGTTTGCACGCTGCGCTCAGCGCGGAATCTGCCCGAGTCGCGGCACGTCGCGCGGCTCTCCACAGTGTAATCGGCGATTAGGTAAACCCCGACCCGGCGAACATGCTGTGGAAGTTGACACAAAAACAATTATGGGGTCATATGCCCCACGTTTCAAAGGTGCAGTAGAAAAGTGCTTCAGTGGAAAAGAACTTTCGCACATTTTTTTTCTAATTTGGGTGGATTGGATTAAAAGGAACTTAAACTATTATTCTATTATTATTCTTCGTCTATAATAGTGAATAAGGATTCTTAATATCGTGGTAAATCAATCGGTGACTTCCCTATTGGCACAGAGGTTATAACAGATGAGAATCATCACTCCGTGCTCAATTGACTGAGGAAATGCTTAATATGACGCACTTCAATAAGGTTTTTGCATGAAAATCGAGAACAAGCTGAAAGATATTGAAGGGGAGGAGTTGGGTATGTGAAACAGGATTGGTCAATTGGACTCTGGCGTGCCTACTACGCCACTCGCACTATTGTTGACAGTTCTGCCGTCCCATTTGCAAACGTCAGAACAGTGTCGCCTCAGTATGACCCGTCATTTTGTTAAGAGCTATGCTGGGACTTACGAGTTGTTTTTGCACGGGTCAAAACGTTTTGGAACACCAGAGTTAGTTCAATGTATCAATGATTAGATAAGATAATATATATTGCAATATATCACTCAGTTTTTGAGGGTACCAGGCTTTATTTTTTCTGCGTAAATGCAAATTTATAAACAATGCGTTTTAAGGTTATACTGGTTAGCCAGTGGTGGTATAATGGAACATATGCACAGTTTCGTTCCATATCATCACCTCAATTATTTTTTGCGCAGGTTGAATGTAGGTAGAAGACGTGGAGTAAGGATAATAATGACTTTTCCTGTAAAGGAATTCGTTATATGTGAAACGATCTCGATAAGTTTAGGATACAAATAAAAAAAAATAGAAACGTTCTTTAAATGTTGATTTTTTTTTTCCACGACAGTCCGAAAGTGTACCGAAAGAAAGCTAATTGTTCTCGTATTTATGTAATTCAGAACGAATATACCATCGTTACGGATTGTAATTTTGCACATTGTCCCAAGTTACCTCTAATTTTGAGGTCCTGCATTGTGCTCTTTTTACTTTTTCACCAGTAACGGTGGCAAATATGCTTTCTGATGTCTTGTTACTTCAAAGATAGGAAATGGAAAACATTTTTGCAAAATGTCATGCTAATAGCTTCATTTTGTATCAGTCAGTTTTCAAAACGCTAATTAAAAAAAATTCCATAAACCCACCTTCTCTTTTTCTGAAATTGTTAATAAGAATATATTATCCGGTAATCATTAATACGAACAGAGGACAGAAGTGTTCATTGCTTGGAAGACTGAAAGAATAGGCTGAGACAGGCGCGTCACGTTGGACGAAATCAGTGCGGCCCCCCTTCTCTCCCGCTCCGTAGTAACAGTGGAGAGATTTTCTGTACTTCCTACAGGCTTGTGTTACTCAGAGCAACAATTGATGTCTCTGCAGTGCTTCTGACCGGGAGGTCCTAAGGGTGCGAGTCTCGACGGTGGCAGGAGTGTTGTCACCAGCTAGATAGAGTTCAGCTGCTGTCTGAAGGAGAATTCTTGTGACCGGCTGCGCTGATCCGTGGTTTGTCCGATCAACACCTGGCTAAAGCCGGAGCTGAACCTTAACAAACGGGCTACGGATAGCGCCCCATTTTTACTTTCTTTTCCTTGTTCCATTCTCTCGCCTTCCACACACTTGGACTACACTACTACACATGTCCAGATACCAATCTGGAACTTAGAGCTTGTCCTGGCAGGGACGATGCCCCGCTGGCACGGAATACTGGGTGGAGAAAACCCTACAAACCAACTTGTATATGGGCGCCTGATGTCACCATCAAGCGTGTGATCACCACCCTCGTTAATCTGCTAGATAACAGTATACAGACAATCTACAAATAATTTGTGCAGGTTGAAGAGAGAAAAAAAAAGATTTATGATACTTATTAAGTGTCGTAGTAGTGATTTATTTCACTTTTTTATACTGCATACCATTTTCTCAATATTCAAATATGAACTGATTGTAGTACATTTACAGCGGAGAGAGGAAAACAAAAATCGAACGACCAGGTCCTGAGTTCTGCATTACCTCATGTAGGTCCTATGTTGTGCCCTAAAAATTGTAATATTGCTAAGAGTTTATTCACAAATAAAAATATTAGGCCAGTGCAATTAAAGGACCTATAATAGCGAGTAGTCCATTTAATTTTTTATAGATTTCGATATTCAGTGCGTTTCTAATTGCCCTTTCTACTGACTAGAGATTCCCAGAATTTCTAATCCCTCAATCTTCTGACTCAATTATTCATTACGTCTTAAGAACCATAACTCGTGCCGCCTTCTGGAGTAACGAAAAGGCCTAGTAATTGTTTTCAAAACGTATGTTGCAGAGTTTTGGAGTAATGCTTAATGGTATTGCATTTCGTAGTGTAACGTGGGTTTCGGATTGCGTGAGCACGCGTAACGATTGTTTTATGAAAGTTCACTACCCCTATAAAATAGGGAGTAATTCACTATCCAGCTCATTACGGTTATTTTGTGGCAATGACGTTTTGTACATAACCGTTAATTTTACTGAACGTCTTATAACGTTTTAATCGTACGTAATAACTATTCAGAAAATTTTCTTTCATTGATAATAATTTTAAAAAAATAGTCACATTAATAGTTTAATGAAAGTTTGAATGTTACGTTTAATAGTCAGTCCTTTGTTGGTTGTTTTGAGTAAATTTACTTTCGTATCATTTGGTGCCGTGGAAGTTGGTCACCGGTATGTCTTGAGTTTTGAACTAGTGTTCATTAATTTAGGTTAGGTGATTATTCCTTTCTCTCTCCAAGATCGGCTACAATGACACATTTCTAGTAGACATACAATTGTTTTCTAGTCTCTCTGCATTTACTTGAATAATGAAATTGACTCGTCAAATGTAAATCAATAAAAAAACATACTGTTGTTACAAACATGCTGACTTTCTTCCAATTGCACAGTGAATATTATAAAAATTGTGATGGTTCATTCCGTTTTTGTTAGTGTTTTGTTTGTGTGCAATGAAAGATGATAAATGTATCGTGGAGGCAAATCTTCTTCACTAAAATATTCTACTCTGCTTTTGGGAATAACTACTGTATTGAATAGATTGTTTGTTCAATTTCATTGTTCCTTTTCTTTCAAGTCTACTAATTTGTTCCGGATGTATACAAAAAGTCTAAAATATACTTTCTATTTTTTTAAGTTTTATTTTTTTATGCAGAAGGTTATTTTAATTTGGGGGAGGGGATATGAACATACATACGAAGATACGTATTTAGATACGCAAGGTAGGAAAGATGCTCCAGTTGTTTGGCCACTGTTGGATCGTGCGGGACGATATGTCTCTCAAACCAACAATCATTTGTAATTTTATTAATTTATTTGAAACGAATACTTCTTCGGGTTAACAATCGCCGCCTCTTGTCGACATATCTCCTTAGTCAATTTTTTATACACCATGTGTTTCATTTGTGCTAACGATTAAAGGTGTTTGTGTACGTTTGGAATGTCCTGCATAATCTGAATGTGTTCTTTTAAGCAAAATTGTTATAATAGCTGCATTAAATTACGGCATTCTGTTCAACATTTTAGATACTAATTTTGGAAGGTTCGAAATTTATTAGTCCATGGTATTTTTATTCGCCTTTGGTGAGTGCTTTGAAAGTACATTGTTAGGTATTGTGTCGTGACGCAAGTGACGGCATGTGTGCTGATATTAAGTGTGCAGATATTTCGTGACCTATCGTTTCATTAACAAAGAAGCTGGTCCTCTGTGCGTGCATTTCATTACGTGGCGAAGATTTGATTACTGGGTGAATGGCCACGTATTGTGACTGGTATCAAATCTGCGAAGCGAATTTGCAACTAGTTTGCTAGTGTGTAAAATCATTTCATTTACAGGGTGCATAAATGAAAGCCGAATCTTTTGTTCCCTGAAATGAGCGTTGCTACGCAGAATATACATGCAAAATATGTATCTGAAATTATGTTCAGGTTTATCCCTTACGAAAAGTTGTATGTGAAAAATGAAAACTGCATGAACCGTATTCAATTTCTTAATTTGAAAGTGTATGAAATTACATAATATGATCGGTGATTTTTGCAACGTATTGGATTATTATGTTTTAGTAAGTTAAACTATAGAAATAAACCCTCAAAGGAATTATATAGCATTATACAAAATATCAAGGAAATATTTTTACATTTAATCATGACTTTTGAACCCTGCACTGGTTTTCGTTTGTTTAAACTAATGGCTGTCTATAAGAAAAGGAGCGTAATACTCCGTGAAGTTAATATTTTAAAACGTCCCCTTTCTGCGGTATTTTTTGTTGGCGAAATACACTGACACATTTTTATTATTCACTTGTTTAATACCTAGCGGATAGGCTGAAATAGCAATCATGTTTCAAACTGGCATATGTTCGAAACTAATCAATATTGACATTTTAATTATTGGTGAAAAATAATGTTTGTAGTCGCAGCCCCACGGTACTGCCGAACATACTGTTGGTGAAACTGAGTGATAGCTTCTTTGTATCTAATATACTGCGTTTGTGGAGCTTCTTTGTGGAGCTTCATGCGCGTAGAGTTCCCGCAACGTAAGATAACGAAAGTCTTTGTATTGAACTGAATACATGCAAGTGCTTAAGGTGAGTCATTGTTTTGACGACACGCAAACTGACAGCGGGCTAGCAGCTGATGGTCTTGTGACTGCACAAGGTAGATTGGATGACCCATTTATTTAAATTAATTTACTCATAAATTATATTAATTAATGAACAAGTATATATCAATTATAACAGGATTATTTGTTAATTTGTGTTTGCATTATCTGCTGAAAAAACGCGTTTTATATGTAACTTGAGAAGGAACCTTGACGCTTTTAATAATCCTGTACACTCCTGTACTAGTGTAGTCTTCTGAAACATGATGCATTAATCAAATGTTCAGAAGTAGAATTGAAGCGTATATTACTTGAGATAGATGGGTGGAATTTCTGGTGAAATTCGGAGTCGTGATTTGCAAACGTACTCTTTTATTGTTTAGAGCTATGAATTTACGTTGTTACTCGCGCTTTGACGTTTCCGTTTCTTGTAACGAGTAACAGACAGATTCAAAGAGTGTTCAGAAACTAGCGAGATATTTATGATAAAAATGACTTGAAAATCGTGTTGTTAAATTTGCAGTATTTCCAAACACTTAAAATTCATTATCTGGTATCTTTCCGTAAGTGTATATTTTGAAATCACTTTATTAGGGGTAGCTATACACACGTTCATGAAGGATATTGCTAATTCCGTGCTTTTTGCCAGTGATTTTTGGTCTAGTCGTAAATACGTCGCCATTATTAACAGAGGAAGATCAATTAGTGTAATAGTGTTCAGTAAAATCTGCGGCGCTGAATATCGCGAGTAGTTAGATTGCTGTTGTCCTACTTTTCCAGCGTAATATTTATAATGTTTTGAAAATATATCTAAAAATTACTCTTAACATAATTATCAGTAGTATTTAATTTTATATTTATCCGTGATGTTTTACAATGATTTTTAAACCAAATGAAACAGACACAAGTTCACATGTATTAAAATTCTTGATACTACACGACGTTTCCTATGGATTGGGACTTCGTCAGAAAATCTAAAATGTGATAAAAACTAAGTAAAAATAATAGTACAGAATGAGGCTAATTATGTCTATAACTGAAGAACGTTCCAAAGTGTGGCAGGCAAGAAACATGTCAGAAAAGACATTGTCATACTCGTAGAATTATCCAAATATATTTATATTACACAAGTTACTTGGTGTGGATGTCACCAAAACCACTCAGATGCAACATATAATACCGTATCGGGGATAAAGCCATGTAGTAACAAACATAATGGTAACAAACGGTTATTATATTGAGGTGGACCCCGAATGGATAGTCTCCTACGTAATTTACGATGTTTGGTTACTATTACATCTTAACTGGACAACATCTCTGCGACAGGTAGCCGGTTTAGTGGGCGAGTATCAAAGAGTTTAGAATGAAAATACATGATGGTTGGGTCTGTACCACCATGTCCCAACACACATTCATGCCTTAGGCGGGATTCGAATCCACAGCCCGGATGGAAATCGTTCTTGGGGGAACTTGCCTCGAATTCTGCGCCACCCAGGCCAACCTGGAGAGAAATGAATGTGATGGATAGGTGATACGCGCTAGTTGGGAGAGTCCTGTGGAAGGTCATGCAAGTGTGGCGTCGTTAACACGAGGGCCAGAACCGTTAGGTCGGTGAAAGTACGCTGCGGGGGAGGAAGGGGTTGAGCCTGAACATCCGGGAGTTTGCGCTCGGGCGGTTGACTCAGGTAGTGCCGCAGAGCCAAAAATACCGGAGGCTGTAAACTCCGAGGATGCTAGCCTGCGAGCCTCGTTTACGGAAGCAGGCAGCCAACCCTAAGAATCCTGTGTGTGGGCGTAAACCAAGGCTGGCCTGCGAGCCTCGCGCCAGCCGGCGAGCCTATCTATGGAACAGTAGTGGGGGTGTCAGCCTCAACTATTTAACGCGGCGCCATCTGCGCCCGCGTTCTCATTCAGTTTGCATCGGGAAGCTTGTACGTGTGTACAAGGGGTGTAGGAGTGTGGGCGAGATGTCCGGAGAGTAAGGGCCAGACAATCTCACGTGCTGTAGGCACACGGTCGCCACGACCGGGTTAAATTTTGGCGTCAGGCCATGTGACGGTAATTGTCACGGGACCGAGGTCCGATAGCGCGCATCACGCGTGGCTTGTATTTTCTGCGGTAAAGCAGTGTTCTGAAAGGAAAAGGTTGCCGGAGAGTTTTAATATTAGCAATTCATTGTAACTTGTACATAATCTTTAATATATTATTTTTCTTTTGTTATTGAAATTTATTTCTTATTTCACTACGTCACACAAGTCAACATCCATGCCCGAGGCTGGATTCGAACTCACGACCCTGGAACCGAGAGAATTTAGAGGCATTAATGAGCGATTTGGGCTACCCAGTCGGGCAAATCAACGATCGAAATTGTTGAATTTGGAAACATTCATTCGAATTTTTTCTTTGAATTCAATTCGAGAAATTGAGAACATTTCTATCTGAATTAATTGAATAAATCAGTATCTGGTTGATACAAATTCTTCCCAGCACTCATGCATGGAAACTAGAACTTACCATCACTGTTTATTGTTTGTCAAGTATGATTTTTTGCGGTACGCAAAGCGAAGGAATGACCATGGCCAAATACAAAATAAAAAAACTGCCCTTATTATATGTCCTTTCATGGTTTTTCCGACCCAACTAGGCAAATTTTGCGAAGTAATAAGTTGTCTTCGCACGTTACGACTCGACTCTCTAGCCTTGCGTGTTAAACGACAGAACGAGTGCTCAGCACGGTTAATTGCATCATCAATGAACAATATTGTACGCAACCAAACGGTCTTCTTTTGGCTTTTACGTATCACCGACTTTGTATACAAGTGTGTATTTCCTGTGGCGCATGCACACTGCGCATGGCAAGTTGTGGTGCAATGTTTTGAAGATAATTGGAAGTTGAAGGACTAACTGAACGATTAACCAACTAGTACTGTACGCCCTACTGCAATGTAGGTAGAAAGTCACATCACGAAGAACAGTGCTGTAATGCTTATAATACGAATATTTGCTGGAGGGAAAGGTATGCTGATACAATGACGAATAACTTAGACTTCGATTGTAGTTAATTTAATTTACAAATGTATGGAACTGTCAAATGATGTTGGTATTATTGTGGGAGCTTAACATATTGTGTTCGAATTAGATTGAAAACTACAAATATTTCATTTAATTTCTTGTAAAAGGAAAACTGTTTGGCGTATGTTGGAAAAGTATATTCTGCAATGACAAAAGCTTTCGCCGCCCGAGTCATACGAATGATCTTAGCTCTTTGGTTGACGTCGAGTCGACGCGAAGGCTGTGTTTCTTGGATCACCCGGACGGATCACTCGCTAGTGTATTTTGCGCATATGTTGTGAACCTGATTTTGCTGATAACTGCGAATTTCGATTCTGCGAGGTTATCCTTGCTCAAATCGATGCAGAATTAGGCTTATGATTTGAGACGAATTCTGAGGGGTTGATATTGCTTCTAGCAGAAACTGTACGGATGAAACTGGGCTACTTTTACTTTTTTCATGTCACCAACAAAACGAGTGGGATTTACTGTTTTAAAGTAGGTAATTCCGGAACAACGGACAATTCCTAGTCACTATTGAGCAAGGTGTAGATACACGAGAAACTTGTTCGGAAGGAGACAATATTACATCACCGGAAAGTAAATTTATGATTCTGTTTTATTACGTTAAGCGAATTGATCAAAATATGCAAAGCCTATAAAATCTTGTTTTGGTATTCGTTTGGAAATCTTATCGCATGACTCATTACTTAGTTTTATGGAGGACAACGTCCTGTCTGGACATACTATTTGTATTAACTTTTAAAAACCTCGCACAGATTGTATGCATAAAGTCGCAGGATAAGAGAAAAAAAACAATTTTGCGTCGTGCGTGTGGAATACTCACCTAACATTGAATGTAATACGTACAGGCGCATAATACGGAGTGGATAGAAAACCAGCGTGGTATTCATTCATTTGTTCATAAATTTTGCATTAGGCTGGGAGCCAACAACAAAAATCTCTATATTAAACGCAAAGCTAAAACGTTTCGAGAAGTTAGCCATTGGAATGAACAACGAAACTCGAGTATGGCGGATTGCAGAAGTCGGTGTTGCGTTGCACAATTTTGCTATAATACTTGGCCTCGTGACAAATTTCACATCTTTGAATTAGTATGGCGGCTCCTTAGAGACGCCGAAACTGTATGGCAATGAAAAAATCTATCCTTGGGCAAAAAATATCTTTGAACTCGAAATCCAAGAGGGCATAAAAATTACTCGTGACGGAAAAATGATGGACAATTTGAGACGCCATATCGGTATGACATACAACTCCTTCAAGGTTAGGCTATCTAACGAACAATACACTGATAGAATTACCTATGTACTCAGTCCTCAAGGGCATGTTTTTTTGGTACATTCTTAAAATAAGGGTTCCGCCACGCCGGCATCTGCAGACCGCCATACTCACTTTCCCCAGTTATTCTTAACAATGGTACACTTTCAAAAAGTTTTGGCTTTGAGTTTATCATACTTGCTTTTTCTTTGTGGCTCCCGACCTTTATAGCTTAGATTGGTGCGGGTTAGTTCGTATTATTCTTTGGGATTTCTTAACGCATTTAGTGGATCATTCTCTGTGTATGTGTGTTTTTAACGCACATACTCTTGTAAGGTGCTTTCGTTACCGAACTCTGCGATGTGTTATTTACTACGACCTTTAAAGTTGGTGTGAAAGTAAACAAGAAAGGAAAACGGCCTGGTTAAACACGCATTATTTTTATACATGCGCACTAATTTTTACAAGCAAATTTTGTTATATAAAGAAGTTTCGGTACACGGGCTTTCTTTAAAGCCGAAAATTTGCTGAGTAAGTTTAAGTACGACTTTAATTCTTAAAAAGAAAGTGCTATTTAGTGACTCGTACACCGATGATCTATTATATTATGACCAACTGACACGTGCCCAGTTTTCGCGTGTAGGAGTACATGTCGGATTTGTGATCATGACGATATTTTGATGTCAAATAATCGGCCAAATCATTCTGGTATAGCAGATATTGACAGTTGCCAGCTATCTGGACGTAATTGGTGACGAAGTTCATCCGTTCATGTCGAGATTGTTCTCCGCTGGCAATCGAACTGTGCCGTACTAGACGGTCAGGATTGTGAAAGATTGATTTAAGAAATACGACAGCGAATTTGCATTGTTACCCTGACATCGAAATAGTCCGTGTGAAAGCCTTTTCTTCCTTCCCTCTTCTCTCTCTCTCTGTTCTCCTCTCTCTCCTTCTCTTTCTCGCTCTCGCTCTCCCTCCCTCCCTCCCCCGCCATCCGAGAGGGATTGAAGACGTGAAGATGTGGCCAGCTTCTCGATGTCGTATCGTAGAACTTAAGAGTGAATACCATTTAATTTTGTGCTTGCTATTAAAGATTTTTGGGTTGTACATGAAATGGAGTACACGTTGATTTCAGTAAATATGATTTCATCGTTAGTTTGTTAAATGTGAACTGTGGTTGTGCAATATGAACTAATGGTTGTGAAATGTGACCACAAATATGTTGCTTTAATGTAACAATCAGTATTAAAAAGGCGGTAATTGAAAGGTCCCACACGTTTTGTTCAAATTACTTGCGTTAGTCGAGAACTACTAATTAAACCCGCAAATTAGAACGTGTATTTTATAGGCGTGAAATATACGACATACGAAACATATGAACGCATAGGTTAGTTTTTGACGACTAAACCTATCGTGGATATGTGTGAAGATGTGTGTAGAAAAAATCTTACTTGTAATTACGCCCAGTGGCATCCAGGAGCTTGGGGACGAAGCAAGTCAGATTCACCTTTCTATCCAGTAACTTTGTCGAACGATCTACATGTTTACTGACAGAAATATTTATATATTTCCCGCTTCTTGACTTTTCGATTTATACATTATTCATAATTCATTATTCATTCGATAAAATATTATTTTCAAATTTGATATTATACATTACTTACATTGAAGTATTTTAAAATATTTTAAAACTATTTTATAATACTGTCGGTTTTTGTATTGAAATTGAAGGTATATTTACCAATATCTTTTTTTTTTTATCGAAGCTGAATTTTGATTGTAGTATGTATATTTGTTTGTGATTGTAGTATGTATATTGTATGTGATTGTATATTTGGTGATATTGTTTCATGTTTTTGGATGTTGAATTTCCCATATCAACGTAGTCAAATTTGATTTTGTTTCAATTTTTTATTCAATTCGAAAATCTTGTAATCGTACCTCATAGAACAGTTCGAGGTGCCAATTTGTTTCTCGATCTGCCATCAATTTGTAGGTTTTTTGATGTTCGGTAGTTTAAACCAATTTTTGTAGTGTTTTTCTTCATTGTTTGTGGCGTAAAAGAATGTTGTAGAAGTTGAACGTGGAAATGAATTCATGGATTCTTTAGCAGCAAAAGGTGCAATGTGTAAAATTGAGAAGCATATTTTTAGTATTCGGAAAGTAACATTTCCATAAGTTTCCATAAGTTTCCATAAGTTCTTCACATCAGGGCGGACCCTCTAGATTATAGTTGTTAAAGCCACTTCCGTCGTTGATGACCGATTTAGAGCAAATAACGGACGTGGTTTGATTTATAAACCGAGGCTGTGACCAAGGTTTATTACAAATAAAGTCTGATATTTGTGATATTGATATTTGCGTTTTCGTAATGCCACTTTCTTTAATAAGAAATCATGTATACTAGAAATACCTTTTCTTGGATTAGAACCTACGCACACGGTGTCATTAACTACTCATATATTTTGATTATAACGAACGTTTTTTAACGGACAGGGTCTTAAAAATCCTTAAGGACGCCGGTCGTAAGAGTTGCTCTTCGTATCTCTGTTTGGTTGCTTTGTGTAGATAACAGTAGGGTTTAGGCAAAAATCTTAATAAGCAATTATTTGTGGGAGCATAAAATGACGTTAGCCTAAACCAGCCTAGAAAGGTCGTTGTTAGCTTGGCACATTGCTACCTGATGCTGCATGCATCGCTCCGCATCCTGAGCTTTGCACCCGTGCTCATGGCCCGCTCTCGTCCCGTGTGCGCAGCCCGACGAAAGCCGGCGGCAGCAAGCTGGAGATGCTGTCGAACGTGAAGGGCCAGATGTCGAGCTGGTTGTCGACGGGCATCACGGGCATCCAGGGGCTGCGCCGGAACGAGGAGACGGTGCCCGACCCCGTGGGGCTGCCGCCGGTGGGCGACCCGGCCCCGCCGCCCGCGGCGGCCGGCGCGACGGCCATGGGCGGCGGCAGCGGCGGCGTGGGCGGCCTGGCCCCGGCCGACGGCCAGATGGGCGTGGAGTCGCCCGCATCCGAGAAGTCGGTAAAGGGCTCACCTGTCGAACAGAAGGAGGACGACGACTCCAGGTTAGTAGGCGCGTCGCAGGCGAACCGCCGAGTCTAGTGTTACTTCCCGTGGGCGTGGCCTAGGGGGGGGGGTAGAGGGGGCAACGGCCCAACCCGTACTTCTGCTACACCATAACATTTACACTTTTTTAAAATTAACTCTCGAAGATCAGTTTCTAGGCAACATTTCTTTTGCTCGACCACGATGCACTCCTTGTAGTTGGAACCTTGCGTAGAGTAAGGACCTAATTATGAGAAACTCGAAAAGGAGATTTATTTAATTAATTATGCTAGTTGAATATATACATATTGTGTCAGTGAAAGTATGCAAATATGAAATTATTTTCAGAAAATTCCCGGAAACTTCTGATGTATAAAAAAGGGTTCGTAAATTATATTCGATTTAGTTTCACATGAATATCTAGTAGTGCCCATTGATTGCAAAGGTTTCGCCCTGGGCGAAAGTGCTATCTATTTATTCGGCTTGGTTCTCTTTGAATGTCAGATGTAATGGGGTAAACATGTAGGATATTCTTTGTTCTTTATGATGAAGTGCACCACTGTTCCTGGGGCACCGATTGCACTCCTGGTGGTAGCTGGAATCGGCCACTTCGTTACTTCTGGGAAAGGAAGCGAGTGCTGAAGGATGGTGGTGAACGTTGCCAGTTTGTTAATTTCGGGGGAGATTTTAGATCGACTCCTTTTGGGCAAGTGTAGTTTTAACATTGTAAAGTTTCATTGTTCACTAAAATTTTCTTCTGTATTACATCCGTCTGTATTTATTATCGCTATTAATGTGTAATGTGTGTGCTGGTGCTAATTTTCTCTTCTTTTAAATAATGTAAGAAATGTTATTTATTCCACTTCGTAGTTTGGTCTTGTCGGGTAATTTAATTTAAAGGAGTGCGAAACCTTTTTATATTGATAGCTTTACTAGGCTTTCTACAACGGAAACATTTTCATAAATACACTTAACTTGTGGAGTGATTTTGTTATTTTGATAGAAGATTACAAAAATTTTCAAGCCGAAAATGAACCTTGTAATTCACGCACTACGTAGTTTTTTTAAAAAGAAAGTTTTCATTAATGGAGCGAGTTCGGTTGTTAATCGCGTGCTTGCGTGACTGTGTATTCTATTTACGGACTTGCGACTTACGCGATATTGCGGCGGTAGACGTAGAGAAACGACCCCAGCCATTTGCTCCCCCAGTACTTCTATTGAGGAGAGATTGAGCTGTTCCCCAAACGTCATGTAATGATAGTCATAATTATTATGAAGGTTTGAATCGCCCAATCCATTTATTGTTCTTTCGTCCGGTTGTGAAAAATGTCCGAAAATTTTTCTCTGTAAGTATTCGAATTAGAGAGCATATTCATTTGAAGGGGAATAACTGGTTAAAATTCATAAAATCTGTTCAGGTTTTAAATTGCCGCTGTGAATATGCTTATGTTAACATTTTGCGATTTTTGAAGACAAGACTTTTGAATCACAATCTTGTCTTGGTTCTTCCTCTAGAAAACAAACCTCAAAGTGTATGAACATTAAATCGGACACGGTAAGCAATTAATAAACGATATTCGAAGATAAAGACATTACAGATAAGACATTACAAATCTTTTTCAATTTCGACAAATTTCAAAACTTTAATATCTAAATCTGGTAAATACTGTAGGGCATTTCTTTTCGTTTCTTCATATTTATTTCCTGTTCAAAATTCTCCCAGCTCCCATCAGTGACCATCGAAAACATTTTTGTTTTCGACGTTCTACACGCTGTTTGACAACATTTAATAACATGGATGCCGTACGCACACAAGAGTCCGGAATATTTCATTTATCATTACTCACCATCTGTCAGCGAGTATTCGAAGTAATGGCGGTTAGTGACAGAAACATGCTCGCTGCTTAAATTGTGATCAGAGAACTTTCTATCGTCGCTTTCAGTAAATGTGGAACCGGAAAATTGCAGAAGTCGCAAAATAATAAAATGACTTATCGTAGAAATGCCACCGATTAAAGCTGTATCGAGGATCGTGTTAGTAAAGATGGTACGTTTTAATAATGATAACACATTCAAGGCAATCTCTGGCGTTTTCTGACTCAATATTTATGAGCGACCTCTTTATCACCTACACGCTAAGGACAAGTAAATTTGTCTGCTGCCCTATTAAACACGCAAATCCATATACTACTTTACATCTCCGCACATTTATTGCTAACACCACGAAAGGGCAAACTTCGGGTTAAACGCACTTGATAAATTGGGCCATGAACTTATCCCAAGGTTTGCCACGGTGCTGCGGGCGCGTGTTCTAAGATGGTTACCACGTCACATTCCAGCACGTGTATTTACGCTCATAAGAAACTGTTCGAACCCCACGCCTAAACACGTGATGAATTAGGTTCTGAAAACTTGCTCGAAGGCTTTCCGCAATGCAGCGACGCGTGCTTTGCGCTTGCGTCTGTTCCTCGCGCGTAGGGAACAAAACACTAGTAGTCAGAACGTTTTTACCCTTGGGCGTAAGCGGCAAAGGTGGCTCAGGGCATGGAATGAAATTTCTAGGGTTCGAGTCCCGACGGTGGCAGGATTTTCGACATTCGCTAGTCAGCTATGTCGAATTCAGGCGCTGTCTGGAGGAGAATTCTCGTGGACGGATGCTCTGAGACGTAGTTTTCCGTGGTTTCTTCGATCTACACCAGGAGAATGCCAGAGCACTTCTTTGGCCTCGACCGTGCGCAATCTTTCCTTCCTCGTCCTTGTCCCTTCATCACCTCCTTACTTACACACCCACCCACACACGCACGCGCGTGTCCACCCACCCACTCCCACGCATACCCACTTCCATGACCCCCTGCCTCACCATATCCCACTCCCACCTACCAGCCCACTCCCCCCACTCCCGCCACTCCCGCCCACTCCCGCACGTCCCCACTCCGCCCACTTCTCGCCCACTCACCGGCCCATGCCCGCCCACTCCCGCCCACTCCGCCCCACTCCCACCCACACTAAACAAACACCACACATGTCGGGAGATCAGTTGGAGCTTAAAGCTAGTCCTGGCGTGGGCGGTGCCTCGCTGATGGGGAGGGAGATACCTGTTTATGTGAAATTAGGTCGGCGCCGTACCTCGGCAGCCACCGGGGCAAGTTCACCACCACCACCTCCCACGATAAGACATGCACTTCACTTAGGGAAGCAAAGACGTTAGCAGTTAACACCCCCGCCATCACTAATCAATGAACGCCTTTGGCGTACGCGTTCGTCGCCCCGCCGGGCTCGGCGCGCGCGCCAGGGCAGGCGAGCGAGCGCGCGCGCGCGCTTGTGTGTGTTCATCGTGCCTTCTCCACAGTGCCACCGGCGGCGCGGACAGCGACGTGGCAGCCTCCGAACCCGGCACCCCCGGGGAGGACAAGGACGGAGCCCACGCCCTCGGCGGGGGTGAGTGCCTCGCCAGCTGCGCCTGCGATCGCGGCCGCCCCTCGCGGCGCTCGCCAGTGGCCTTCGACCGCGGTGGGCGTGCCCCCGGGCCGTGTGCATCCTCGCGAGGCGCGAAACTCGAGTTACGAAACGGCCGGGAGGAAAATGGCTGTAGAAAGAAAATGAAGTTTTATTTATATTCCTTTTCGGTTTATGCGTCCCTTGTTAGATTATTTTCCGGTAATATTGTCTTGAATTTTCGTTTTGAGGTCGTTAAATTAAAATGTTACTGTTGGGCCAAGTTTGCTTTTTTATTTCAATCGATTGGGCGTGCGCGTTCGATTTGGCGTATTGGTAGGTTTGGCGTACGCGATGTGGCACTAAGTACAATATGCTTTGTTTGTTTTGTGCCGTTTATGAGAATATACGATTGTGCAATTAGTGTACTGATTACGAGATCTTCGAGTTTCGTAGATTTTTTTAATAAAGAAAAGTTAATGAGAATTGTATGTGGCTTGGCCTCTTTTTGCACCAGGTAAAATCTGTTCACCTTGACCATCGCCGCAGGCAGGTGGCCAGTTATTCGATTCAGTTGTTCTCGATGCTCTGTCAATAAAGACGAGCCAGATTCTGTTAGTGCCGACCGTACCGGGGACCGGAGCAGCAAAGAGTCGTAGGCTAGGTGCGAGTTACAGATAATTTGAACAGGCGTGTGCATCTCTGTTCATCGGCCATTCTACTGATGACGCATTTCAAACGTGTTTTGAGAGTAATATTTTCAAATTTACACTTAAGTGGTGATAATTTTTGTTGGTATTTATTACACCTGGCATCGTGAAGAGAATTTATTCGGATATTTTATTTTGGTGTTTATTTTTCAATACGCATAAATTTTCATCGAGGATGGATACGTAATCCCGGGGGAGAATACGCCCACAAAAAAGGTTGAATGCCACTGGTATAGAAAATACACCTTTCTCTCCACCCTTTTCGTTCTCTCTACAGTATCCACGAAAGCTTTGCAAGGAGCTAAGTCTATAGGCAGCTTTCTATTTTCTGCTGTGAACAAGGCGGGCAAAACGGTGACTGAAGCAACAACCAAAATAAAGAAAACCGTGGAGGAAAATGTAAGTATTATTTTCTTACTTGCTTGTATTGATGTATTTTTTTAAAGTAGTTCGTAACATGATTTTAGTAAGTTATTGAAGTGGTTGATGTTTACCAGACGCATAATCAAAATTAGGTAATAGGTCCTCTATTAAATTTACGTATTCAGATGAGGGTTAGAAAACCTCCAGAATGCGTAAATGTATCACTCTTGCCGTAATCCTAAAATATTGAATATTACTTTTGTATTGTTTCTGCGAATATTATTTAAACACTGAAGGAATTCCTTCATGACCTTCCTTTATTACATATAAAATAAATGATTTGCTTTGATTACATTGTAAATAATCAAATTACCACTGTGTGCAAAAAATAAACTTACTGAGCTCATGACTTATTGAAATATAATTACAAGTCTTTTACTTAAAACAAATATTAAAATTATCACTGTGAGCCTTGTCGTCTATTAAACATTAAACACTTATTGTGTTTGTTGGAAAATGTGTTAGTGTGTAACGCCTAGAATAGATTTGCCTTCTTATAGTTATATTTTCAATGCTTAAAAAAAAGAAAAAGAGTTAATTAGGTTTTTCATTATTTAACCCTCTAGAGATTTCATGCCGTATTTGCAATGTTGCCAAACGAGTGAGTGTGGTTAAAAAAGCTAACGGGACTTTCTCCTTTATTTTTTGTGAGGGGAGCTGGTGTGTATGCCGCGATGCCTTTTATTCCGGAGATATCGAGCGTAGCAAACCCTACTTGGTGCCCTCACACCCAGCCCCTCTTCCCCGCCTGCATGTTGGATCCCGAGCTTTCGGTTGCTAGCGCGGCATCCGTCAAAAGAGACCATTAACGCCAACGTCACTCAGTCCTCTGCACTTCATGGAATGAGGCGCTGAGAGCAGGGGGGGGGGAGAGGGAGAGGTAGGCCTCGGTGACACCAAGTTGCGGAGACTTGTCGTGTGCGGGGGTTCATCGCTATAATTTCTTCCAACTTTACGAAGTAGCTAAGTGGTAAAGTAACTTAGAATGCGGGCGAAGTTAAGGGTCTGCTTTTGGAATGTAGTACAGTGATGAATATTGAACTAAAAAGTTCTAATGTATTTTGCAAGATACTGCGATGTTATCAGATGAAATATTGATTGATGGTTTTCGATTATCTCTATTAGCTAATAACCGAACAAAACCGCCTCTGTAATGCTTTGATTCCTTTAAAAAAAATCAAGATTTTGTAGAATTTGCTTTCCGCTGTTAATTTCGTTGACGGGCGTTTCCGTTCCCTTTGAATGATTTAATAAGTGATGTCTGGATAAGTGTCTTGCGAATATATTTTTGAGTTTCTGCTAGTATGTGTATTGTCTTAAAAATAGAAGAATATCGATGATAAATATAGTGTATCATGTCTAAGAAAGTTACTGCTTAGTAAATCAAATGTTTTTTTTTAAAATTACGTGATACAACACATCAGGTTTTATGACTTCCATTCCGCGCCCTCCATTAAAATAGTACTGTAGCAGTGAAGCTTATTTAAGAAGTATAGACGTTATTTAAGTGCATTTCTTTCGATGAAATATACTTGGGCCACGGCAGCATTGTAAGTGACAATTTTCTGAAAATTGAGAATTTTGTGTGTCTATTTTTGTGTATTAATGAACTATAACTATTATAATTCTGCACTGCAAAATACAATCTCGATTATGTGGATACTGGTTATGTGAAGACGTATCCCCACAATATCCTACGCTGTGGCAACATTGAAGCTTGTTACGAAAAACAATAGTGTGCTAGGCCGGCTTTGTTGGCAACTTCTGGCCTAGAACACGTAAATTGTAACAAAAAGAGAAGGAAAATATTCTACCGAAAGGAAACATGAGCGGAATAGATGCAGGAAGTAAGGCTAAGAGCATTATAGCTTCAAAAACATTCTAAAACCTGTTAAGTCTGAGCCAAATGAAGTACAGTAATTTTAATTTTTATATTAATTAATTATAATAAATAATTAATAAAATATTAATCAATTAATAAATAAAAATTTAATCGTTAATCCGAACCCTGCAAATTCGAAATTTCCAATGATTTCAACAAAATGGCATAGGAGGAAATACAAACAAAGTAAGAATGTCTTTATCTGTAGTGTAAAAGAAAGGATTTTATAATTACTATAAAACTAAACACCTAATTATTGAAATAAAAGTTGTCGAAATGAAACGTATTACACTGGCAACTACGGTGTATGTATCATATGTTTATGTAGCAGTAATAATCACTAGGCAAAATCGGGAATCTTCTTTTACCGTAAGGAACTGAATTTGCTTGATGATGCGATGTAATAATCTGATGTTGCTACGTTGAAATGTTCTCACATCGCACGCTACGTTGCATTGTCTGGTAATCTCATAGATGTGTAGTATTTGTACGGTTGATTGTTTTCGAATAATCCGAACAGAACCCCCACCTCCAATTAGTTCGTATTACCGGGGGGTTTACTAAAATTAAATTATATGTAAAATAAAATTATACGTAAGGAAGCTATTTTCCTTTAAATACTAAGGCGTATTTAATTTAAAGTGTACCACTTCACGGCTCCATTAAGAAATAAGCTGTTAGAATATCTAATCCTTTATGCAAGGTATTTCACCAGGACTGTTGCACATTTCACAGTGTACCTTAATATTAGTTCTAAAAAAAAAAAAAAAAAACGTTGAAAATAAGCGAAATTTTCCATTTAGTCGTGACATATAAAACCAAAAATCACCGTGAGGGAGGGAGGGGAGGGGTGAGATGATCAGTGAAAGGGCGGGGTGACGAGGAGAGGCGGCCTTTAAAAGACTGCTTTTTTAGTGCTTTCCAGATGTACGCCAACTGTTGGTTTTTTCTCGAAAGCCACTTGGAACTAAAAGAAGATCGATAATATTTTCTAAAATTTTTTTCTAGTAGTTTTGGAAATATAGGGTGGGCGAAAATATCATGTTTCAAATTCTAGTTAGTTTGACACAATCCAGTCTACATTCAACGGGACTTCAGCTCTGCGTGTGCTGCGAGAGAATTGTCTTTATCCATATCGTTTGCAAGTGTTACGTAACAGTCCGTAGCTTGGAACTAGTTGCGGAACAAATGTGCAGATGTGAAATTTTCACATATAAATTAATAGACGAGTCTTCCTTTACCAACAGTGATATCTAACTTTAGCAATCATTGGGCGGAAGCAAATCCACATGGGACGTAGGCCATCTGAACGTAGGCTTTTCTATACATGTTTGGATGGGCAGTTCGGGGCATTTTATTGTTGACCATATTTAGTTAGCCAGACTGACTGAAATGTACAGCGTTCACTTTCTTCAAAGTGTATTTATTTTTTAATTTAATAAATATATTTTTTTCGGGGGAGGGAGCAGGGATGTTTTGTTGAAAACCATTCCTACGTGTAGTACTATATCCATATCTGGCCTCCTGGCCACGAATGTAGGCAAGTTCGCATACATCTTGGTCTCGATAGGAGGAGGGATGGGGGAAGTAACAATTCACTGGATTTGTTTTTGGCGCTTTTATAAATGAGGTGTATTTTTCTGTAGTGGAAATCAAAGGAATTTTAACTCCTAATTATTAATTCCAGAGAAGTATTGAAGAACGTAAATTGAGAGAATATTTTAGCAGTGTTGCGATTGTTTGTTTTGTGGAGAGCTGATAATTGTTTGTGTTCAGGATGGCTATTGCGAACAATTATTATAAACTGCGTACAAGAAATCGCCCATGTTTGTTTACTGTTCTTTAATTTCGAGAGATTTTTTTCTGTTTAAAAAATGTAAAAGATTTTCCATTCCATATTTTTTTTTCGTTTTCAGTAAATAATCTTATGCTTTCAATAAATAATCGTGTGCTGATTTTGTTTTGTTGTACCCTTTTAAATTTCTTTTCGATTTTTACATACTACTCTCTACATCCAACTGACGTAAAATATTCGAGGCATTTTTAGGTGAAAGGTCGAGAGGTAACTAACATAGTCAGGTGCAGTGGCCGCTGCTCGTCCCACGGCTCGCGGCAGTTGTGGGCTTGGGGCAGACATAAGCTACTGCTATGAGTTTGTAGCAAATTTGCGGTTGAATTTCAAGAATTGGGAGCTAAACTCGTAACTCGAATGCCGCGCATGAGTTTCTCAATTATAAATCCAACATCCAGAGTTTGTGAACCTACGACGAAGTCTCCTTTTTGTGCGTTAATTGATTTCAGTATGAGAACACATTTTTGTATCTTTGAAACTGCACCTATCAGAATACTACCAATCGAAGATTTCGTTACATTAAGGAGTAGATAGCGCCCATGAGAGAAAATTAAGTTTTCTTGAAACATCGTGTGTGGGGGAGAGTATTTTGCTCCTTAGCTATTTTTTTGTGCTTGGTGTAAAATTCTAAAATTGTGACTTAGAAAATTGAAATGGCGCAGGGTTCAATTCATTTCAAAGGATTATTGTGGTGTTGTTTAATAAAAGCAACAGATACGCTTTTTTACATTAACTTTATCAAAATTGCTAGGGAAGGGACGTTTGGGGTTAACTATTCGTACCCGTTTCTTGTTGTAAATATTGAGCTACATATTCTATCAGACTATTATTGCAACAAAGGGGTAACCTTAGATCCACATTCATAACTACCTGAACTTCGTAGAGAATGTTTTAACGTTAAATGGTAGAAATATTGTTCGTGGTTAAAGTATGTTTGTGTTTCTCGAATTTTATTTTACAGAACATAAAGAGAATGTTCAATATTATCTAATGGGAATACATATTTCAACATTGGGAAACCACTAGTATTCACCTATTATTATTATTATTATTATTATTATTATTATTATTATTATTATTTCTTGTTGAATAAATGAGTTTGGATGAGGTTGACTCTGTGCTTATCATTTGAAAATCTAAACTGTAGTGTGACGAAACTGTAGATTTTGTCTGCCAATAATCTAGATTTATTTTTAAGCATTCTTTAAAAAAGTGAAACAATTGATTTGCTTAATTTTGAAATTGAAAAGGAACATCTATTGCAAATCACTTGCTATTTACAACGCAAATGAAATGTTTAATGGCGTTAAGTATCGTATTGAGTAGATAAGGCGGATATCGTATTAGTGAACTGCGTAGGATTGTGTTCGCAATACTGGTGATAGTGATCTTCTGCAGTTGTTTCCACGCACGCGTATATGTCACGTAAATGAACAGTACTATTGTGGAAGTTGCTGTTCAATAATGTGACGAGGACCTGTGAGAATGTTGTAGGAGTTATCGTTAGCTTGATTTATTATCGCATTAATGCATGAAGGCCGAAATTGATAGTCGCAGTGTCTCGTGATTTGTGATTTGTGCAGTCCTCAACGAACACTAGGCTACAGGAACTTAATATGCGTTCAATGAGAAATATTTTCAGAACGGATAACCTCTCTTGACTGTGCCTTTTTCCCACATACATTGCACGAAGTGTGAATTTTGTAGGAATTTCAGCAATCACTAGAAACAGGGAAGAAAAAGTCACACAAATTGCAATAGGACCGGTAATTATATGTGGGTACAGGGCACATTCTGGTGGGCGCGAGTAAAAACCTTAATGTCAGAGAACTTGGATATTACTGTTAGTTCAGGATTGGATATGGTAGTGAATATGATATAACTGGAGAACGTTTGGACGAATGTTTATTAAAATATAGTAAATAAATAAAATATATTTATAAAAAATAAATAAATGCGCAGTATGTTTAACAATTTTCGAATTCGCGATGTACGATGTTATTGGTGGAAAACTCGGGTGCGCTGCCCTCTGTTTCAGATAGAACGCCGACGCTGTTGTTTGTTTAATCTTTTCCGGTGCCTTTCATTTCCCTTCCATTTATAGATAGTATCTTTTCTGTTTACTTTGTATTATCCCGAGGAGCGAGGGAGGTATAATTGGAGGCCGCGAGCGATGCGCTATTTCGGTTTGTTGTTCCAGAAGCGTCCGCGAGGGAGAAGGAGCGGCGGCGGCGTTGGTCGCCCGAGTGTCGAAGCGGGGATGTAGCAGTCTAGTTCGTTCCGCGCTTAAAGCTCTGCCTTCGCTAAACGCAATTTATATCCGGAGTTTGCAGCGAGCAAACGCGCCCCCTTGGGGTCTTTGGCGGAGGCAGGGAGCCCTCTCCCGGCACCGCGGGCCGCTCGTTTGCTTGACGATGCCGGACAGGGTGGAGGAGGAAGAGGCACTTATGTCGGTCTGAAAGCCGCGGAACATGGCCGTTTGGCCGCCGCCGCTCGCACGTCGCCGCTGGCTGGCCGAAAGGCCGCCCGTGCCCGCGGTGAGTGCCCCCCGCTGTCCCCTTCTCCGCTTCTCCCTTGCCCTTTCCCTTCCCTTCCCTTCGCCTTCCCTTCCCTTCCCTTTCCCTTCCCTTCCCTGCCCTTCCCTCCCTTCCCTGTCCCTTCCTTCCGCTTTGCCCTTTGCCTTCCCTTCCCTTCCCTTCCCTTCCCTTCCGCTTCCCTTCCCTTCCCTCTCCCTTCCCTTCCCTGTCCTTCCCTTCCCTTCCTCCCTGTCCCTTCCCTCCCTTCCCTTCCCTTCCCTTCCTCCCTCCCTTTCCCTTCCCTTCCGCTTCCCTTCTTCCCCTTCCTTTCCTCCCTTCCTTCCCCCTTCCTCCGCTTCCCTTGCCCTTCCCTTCCCCTTCCCTTCTCGTCCGTCGCCGTCCCTCCCGGTCGTCCCGTCCCGTCCCTCCCGTCCCGTCCCGTCCCGTCCCCGTGCCGTGCGTCCGTCCTCCCTCCCGTCCCTCCCGTACCCGTCCCCGTCCCGTCCCGTCCCGTCCCGTCCCGTCCCGTCCCCTCCGTGCCGTCCCGTCCCGCGACCCCGGCCCGGCTTTTGTGCGACTTGCACCGCTCCGTCTGTGCGCACGGACTGCCCGTCCCCTCCCGTCTCCACCCTTCCCCGACCTGTCCCCCTTCCCCTAAAGCCGGGCGGCTGCTCCCGACTGCCTGTAGGTCAGAGCGTTTCACTTCAGTTTTGTCTGGAACCGTTCTGAGAATTTCGGCCGTCTTTCTACTTGCTGAGCTTCGTGGAACCAGTGTGCTGTATTTTTATCTCGTTTCTGTCTTGTACTTGGTTTTCATTTGAAATCTCGCTACCTCGTAAATCACGACGTCTGTTCCTTCTCGACCGGCTTAGTGTCATCGATGTAATTCTGTTGCTTTCAATTTCATGGAAACCTGATTTACTCGTATAATTGGGAAAGTCGCTTTGCGTGTTTCTCTTTGTTTGCCCGTTCTTTTTCAATGCGTCTTCATTTTCTTTATATTTTATCTACGCTTTCTGATATGTTTTACATCTATTGTTTTATATAATCTTTGCACTGACTCATCTTGATCCCTTTGTGCCCTCCCCTTGCTTTCTCATTCCGTCATCTGGTTTGCCACTGCGCAGCAGTTGCCTTTCTTGCTTCGAGGCGTTTCCTTGGGATAAGTAGAGGAGATAAATAACTAGTGGTGCAACAACTTACTTTGTAGCATTATATATAATTTTTGCAATTTTCGAAAATTCAGTGACTTCAACGAATATGAAACGTGTGCCTTTTTTAAAAACGTCCTTTCCTCTCTCCGAGGAACAATTAAGAAACCATTTGGAACCTTTATGACCAAAAATTACAAACTGTTATTACATCAAACAAAAATTACGCGAAAATCGTATTTCCATAAAATAATGCATGAGCTTTTTAAAGATTTGATATTTTAGAACAGATATGCACGACAAAAATCTCCATTTTCAGGGTTGTAGTTTTTCAATTTTATTTTTTTTGCAAAATTCCGAAATACAGAGAAGTCACCGAAATTGGGAACTGAAGTCATTTTTGTGAGCGTTCTTTGTCCTATTTGAAAATAAAGAAAACGAGGAACTGTTTTTGAGAATTAAATAAAAGTCTTAATTCATGTAGTATTACTCGCAAACTACTCATATTTTCGATAATTATTCATGACCATAGTTAAAAACCTATTTTTGAGGATAATATTAAGGGAAAAAATGTCTTAAATATTCTAGTTATAAGAAGGCGCCGAAATGTTTTCAAACTTTTGCTATTTTTGAAAATGCAGAGAGCTCAACAAAAATGAGATCTACTCCATTTTTATGAACGACGTTTGTTCTTTCCGAGAAAAAAATCACAATATTTGGAGACTCTTTTGGGAAAATTTTGAGAAGGCTTCACGTTAAGAGCCTCCAAAATATGCATGTCTGCTTCAAATTTTAGGGCTTTAAGCTTGACGAGAAAAATCAGGGAATATTCATTTTTGATAAATTTGAACAGTTCAAACGCCTGCGTTTACCAGACGTCTTGTCGTAAAGCAACTTTTCTGAATCGAGTTTCCACAAAACGTGGATTCTTCCTGTACAATGTGCCAGAGGAAGTAATTTAATACATATAGAAAACAGATTTATTGATTTTTTTTTCGATATCAGGACCCGACAGTTCGTTTTCCAGACGAAAAATAGTCACTTGCTGCTACAGCATTACAATAATTTATTTTTACTACTTAAGAACATAGTCAAGCGACGAAGTAAAAAGCTAAACTGATTGGTTTATTTAATTAGTTATTGAAATCGCCATGTGGAGTTAACTCGAAGAGGACGACGCTTTAACACAGATGCCGCATTGTAGTTAATGGAATTAACAATGCAATTTTCGCATTTTACTCGTTATTTGTCTAGAATTATTTATTACCATATCGTTATACTTTTGTGTTCACTTTGTTGCATAATTAAATATTCCGTGTTTTGACTTTTTGGAAATGTGCAATCACCAAATAACGAAGTACATTAGAACGGATAGTAGAAAATTTATTTTATAAATAAAATTTAATTGCATGCGAATGTATTGTTTTATCTTTCGAAAAAATTAAAGTTCATCAGAATTATCTTACGATAATTGTCAAAAACATGCTCGGAATAGCAGTATTTTGAACGGACTTACATTTAACTGGTATGAATATTTCATCGGAGTGCAATCAATTTTTTCTGGGCGTTTGCTCACTCCATTATATTTTACTCACTCCATTATTTTTTTCCTTTTAATGGAAGCGACATTGATACGGTATTATATCGAAATAATTGAATGCTGATAAATGCATGAGTGAATATTTATGGTATATGACTTTAAATTTACGAAATTGTTTTCAGTTTTTGTTTACACGTAGCAGTACCTTCACATGCTCTGGATGTAGCGATGTTTCAGAAAAATATTAGTATGTATGGTATATATTAGTATATTATATTACGAACTATTCGTGAATACTTATTTTCTTTTGAAAACTGTTCGCGGCGAGATTTTCAGAGAAAACTGTGAAAATGGATTACGAGTGACGATTAAGGGGATAACCTAATTTTGCTGCTTAATGTCGAAGCGGGAAGCCGGTCTTCGACCTACACCCAGTTCGCAGCGCTTGATGTGAGTGGCCTAGTGGCGCAGCGAATCGATCGACGCCTCCGCTCTCCTAACGTATTGCCCCTGCGCTTTCGAGACGCTCGTCGACTAGGAAAACTATATTTGGATCGGAATGCGGGGGTGATATCCGCACGCGGGCGGATAGAAGACCGTCGACGCGGGCGGGGTCGCGGCGGGCGGGCGG